CTCATGTTGTGGTTGTTTGTAATTAAAAACAATCCGTGCAACACCTAAGTGCAGGATAGCAATACTAGACTAGGTGGGTATTTTAAGGTAATTCTGATAAAAATCTCTTCTAGACAGAATCTTCTTTTCATTTCTATAACATATGAGTTAGAATTTCCATTTATGCCTCTGGCAATTCTAGCAAATGTTCTAAGTACCTACATCCATTTCTTACTATTTTTGCTTCTCATTAGTGAACAGTTTTCAGTATATTACAGCAAACGGAATATTTCATACTCTGTGGCTCTTGTTACCAAGTACTCTGAGGATTTTTTGACATTCAAAATGATGTTCTACTACAGTACTGAATTTTTTTTCTTTATGGCGAAATCCCAATGTATAAATTTTACAGTTAAAAATGAGATCTCCAACAAGCTAGGACTACAATCTCTATAGACATTTGTAACATTAAAAAACAACTTTTAGGATACAATATACAATGTCTGATACATTGTATATTATGTTTCAGAAAATAAACTTAAGCTAAAATAATTTTATTCAATTCTGCTGTATTGTTTGATATTTTTAGAAGCCTTTACTATCATTAAACTCCCCATGCTAAATATAAACTTCAACCAGTTATTTATATAGCCATTCACTTGATTCAGTTGCCCCTATGTATGATAACTTAACCCCCCCTCAACTCTATACCACAACATTTTCTTTCTTATCTATGGAAACATCAACCATTTTCCTGACTCAACATAGCTCTTGAATTCTTTTTGCAAATGTTTCCTAATTTGAGCTTAATTAATGAAAAATTATGCTGAGATTCCTAGAAAAGTTCATCAGTTTCATTAGACCCCTGTTAAATAAATCCTTTCATATTTCTGCAACCTTTTTATTCAGTCCACTGAGGCCAGGATTCTCAGGTCAAAGGCATTTCTTCAAATTGAGCTGGAAATTAATAGAAATCCTGGCCCAAAATATAATCATAACCTGCCAGGAGCAAGCAAGTAAGAACTAAGTGAAATGTTCCTATGAATAAAGTCAGTAAAATTAGAATTAAAGTCAAAGACATGTATTCCTAAGTATCTTGTTGTTTATTTTGTTGCTATTGTTGTGTCCAATTTAAATTTGGGAAATTGATACAGTGGTTGAATTCCCAAGTAAAGCAATGGTTGATGGAAATTTTCAAAAGTACAGTTTATCTCTTTTGACTCAATTTGATTTTGCAGTATGCTGGGACTAGTCAAAGCGAGTTGGTTCTCTTCTTAAGTACTTTTGCTGTGTTTACTCTTTTGTCTAATGAACTATTTATCCAAGCTGTGTAGATGCTATGGGCATATCTGTTCTATTAGTAAGATATTTGGAGGCTACTTTAAAAAATGAAATATATAGAAAAGAGTAAACTGAAGTTTATCTGAATACCACAATAACAGTCTACAGAGCTCTGTGTGGATATTCTCAGCACTTTTAATTTAAAAAAATAACCTGTATTAAAGACATGTAAAGGATAAAATCTACTAGGAAGTTTATTGAAATGCAATGATCATTTGAAGTGTTTTTTTTTAAATGTATTAGCCATTAAACCTTTAATGCAACTTTTATCATGATGGATTATAGTTTAGTAATACTGAAGTTTTAGATTATCTGTGTCATTAGAGAATTCCTGTAATATTATAGCCAGAAAGAGTTTTTGTCTGTAGAATAAAGTTTAACTTATAGTCCAGAGAGAGACTGGGAATTTTGGTATTCCAAATTTATTATAACTCTTACGGAAAAGAAAGGGTTTAAATGATTAGTATCATCTTTTCTAAATATTTGGAAATTAAGACTCTGGTTCATTTTTTATGAGACTTTGATTATGTGTGTAGTGTTCTCAAGAAACATCAAATAATCATAGAATCATGAATTTAAGAAATATTTTTTTTTTAAATTTACTTATTTATACATACAAAAGCTGGGGTGTAGGCCTTATGTGTGGGGGGTGGGGTGGTATGTCAGAGGATGCACCAGAGACAGTGTGGGGAGCAGAACAGTCAGATAAACTGAAATGCATTGCAGAGGGGAGCAGTGGGCTAGACAGGAGAGGTCTACTGTGCCATATGGGTAGCTCCCTAGCCAGGGATTGAATTAGTGCTGCAGTGGTTGCCAATAGCTTCATAGTGCTGAGACTTTTCACTCCTTGCACCACCAGGGAGGCCCAAGAAATATAGTTTTATTTAGCTAAAAAACTCTCCCAATCCTTTGTACCTGAAGAATAACAAACCCCCAAGTTTTGTAGAACATGCCTCCCAAGATATATCACTTTGGCATGTGGATTATTTTGAACTGAGGTCAGGCATATCCCTGAAGATTCGTTATAAAATCTACCAGTCCCTTAACTATGTAGAAGAATGAAAATTGTGGGTAGTACTGAGAATTAGTGTTTTTACAAGAGGTGATCTTCTTATCGGTGACAGCTTTCTATGTAACAGAGCAAATGTCTACTCACAGAGCATCAGGTCTTTATCAATGAGTCAGTCATCTCCTCATCCTGTGAACCTTCCCCCTCACTCCTTCAAGTCCCAGACCCTACCTTATCTTAGTTCAGGATGTATACTCCCATTTTCCCTCAATAATCTTGGAACACTCATTTCTATTTAGATTCCTTGCACATATGTAATTTGAATTTTTTTTAATTTTTCCTTCTACTAATCTATCTGATGTTAATTTGATTATTTAAACACCCCAAGAAGAACACAAAATAAAAAGGTTTTTCAACTACTTTTATGTAAAAAACAAAATGCCCAATGTATTTATTTAGTGCAATTGCTTCACCATGTATATAATACATAAACTTATATAAAAAAAATTACATTCAAGACAATATCATCCACCAAGCAACTTGCAGTTGCTTCAACTCATCTTTTCCAGACATCGCTTCATTTTTCTCCTATTTTCTTCTGTGCATAATAGTTACACCAAAAATAATAATTTTAATTTCCTTATCCTTGAGAAGGGATCATCACATTTACAAAATAAATTTGCTCAGAGGATTAAATGAGATGACTCATATAAAATACTTAATTCAATGTCTGAGATATAGTAGAATACAATAAATAATGGAATTTATCCTCTGTTCTCTTATTTCATTTTAAGGTAAAATGCTACCATATTTTATTGAGAATATGTGAAAGAGATACATTATTTTTGCAATCTAAGAGTTGAATTATTTGCTTATAGGAATAAAAGCATTGCGTTATTCTAGAGATGTACAGTAGGTTTTAAATAGGAGTGAGTATTTCAATAGAGCTTGGGAAAAGGAGTTGGCTTCAGGGGAAATGATCAGTTATTTACATTAAAAAAGCAGAATCATAAATAGCAACTGCCAACTCAGAATTATACTAAAATTGTGCTTCTTGAATTATCAATACAGATGTGTGCAGTTTAGTAGCACAACGCGTGCTATTTTTGCATTTTCCAAAAAAAGGAATTTTTCAAGAGTTGCATTTCATTAATATTGAAAAACAAGATTGTTGTTTCTTATTAAACTGAATTTTGCATTCCTACAGAAATGATAATTTTGGGAAAACTGAAAATTGTATCTAAACTCTGAGAAATCTGATATATTAATACCTGTAATAAAATAGCTTCATTTAGCTTCTGATCAGATATTGTATAAGGCAAATCAGGAGTTATACTTTTATCTATAATGGTATCAAGGTGGCTAATCATCATTATTAAATTGAGGGCAGATGAGTCATGTGTGTGAAACGAACACGTGGACTCACTCCAATTTCCTCTGAGAAAGAACCTATAATTGGCATCAATTAGTTCTCTTGTTGGCAGTTTTAGTAAACCATCTGAAATTTAATAAACAGAGACTGAAATGCATTCTCAATGAAAGACAGTCATCTTGGACATTGAGAAGAGCTGATTAACAAATTGGCAGTTGGTATTCACCCTCTGTCTTCAAATATTGACATAGTTGACTTAATGCTCCCCCTCCCCATCAGCACAATACTTCATTGTGAACTACTTCAGAAATAAAGTTCTCAGAAATAAATATTTTGTAATAGTTTTATTTTGCCCCCTTTTTATTTATTCTGATTTACATAGAAAGGAGGAAATACAAGGACCCTCCGGTGCATTGAAATTATATATATTAAATTGAACTATTACCTTAAGGAGTTGATATATTATCTCAAATGCTTCACTTACTCATGGGGAATAGGGCTATCTGTTGAGAAATTCTGAGTGGCATGGCACTTGAAATTCACAAATTTGCAAAGTAGGCCACTATGATTGTTCCCAAATTCAACCATGAGGTATTATGAGGTGCCAATGTGAAGAAAAATTAGAGGAAGAGAACAGAGTTATTTATTTTGTTAAAATTATTTCTGTCTTCTAATCTCACAACCACTAAGTCTATGTTTTCAGACTTCAAAATGTTTCTTGAATTTTATACAAATATAAATATGTGCATTTTATCAATTTTAAAAGAATAATTATAATATGGGTTGAGTATGTAGCTAAAAATATGAAGGAATGGAGTAAGACAGCTCATCTGTCATCTTGTGTCATTTCATAATATTGATTAGAAAATTTAGAAATGTTTCTCTTTTGATCTTTAAAACCACTTTTAATAAATATATTTATGATATAACAGATACTTCATTTGAGTTACCTAAACACTTTATTCTCACTTCTCTAGGCCATACAAATGCCAACACTGAAACTATTGAAATTTATGTTTTATCTTCATTTCTAAAATATTTGCTGAACAATATAATGTATATTGAATATTTCAAAGAAGGCACCATGCTGTCCATTAGTGAATAGCATTTATCAAATGTCTATCTTAGACATGGTATTCAGATATTTTATTAATATTAGCCACATAGCAAAAAATACTTCTGTGTAAACTAGATGTGGAAATGAGATGTAGGATATGGCGTATATGAGTTAAAGTTGGGTGAGGAGCTACTGTCATTAAGTGGTAATGAGTCACATAAATACTCATGTATTTTTTTTTTCATAACTGAAGTATTTTATTTTATGTACAAAAAACTAGTTTCTGCTTTACGGTAGATTTCTCCACAGCCAATTCAAGGAAGATCATTTAGTCCAACTTAATGAAGCCTATGTCCTTGGCGTACTGACGGAAACACTGGCGGCACATGTTGAGCCCATATTTCCGGATCAGGCTGTGTCGGTTTGAGCAGACTCGGCAAGAGCGAGAACCCTGGCTGAATTTTCTCGGGTGACTCCAGTAGAGGTGCTGGTGACCCATCTTGCTTTCTCGGAGGCAACGAGGCAAAAAGGCAATACTCATGTATTTTTGACATGTAGTAAGTATAGTGACTTCAATTTTTTTTGAAGGATCACATATAAACCAGAAAGTGTCATAAAATTGTAAAATATAATGTCAATAAGGCACTGGTATACTACAAAGTTTAACTTTTCTAGAGAAATGTAAGTTATTGAGAAGCTTATAACTTAGATTGGTAACTTAGGTCTGTCACTTACAGTCATCTTGTCCTAGGTCACTTGAATAAAATGGATTATGCCCACACAGTACTGTGGGAAAGTGTTACACAATTAGGTGATTTCTAGAGATTTACAGTTGCATGCCCCTCTGACTCCATGTTTTTACTTCCAGTCCACTTCATATAATTTCCATTTCACCCTCCAGGCTGATTTCATTTTTTTACTTGGCATGAATGCCTATGTGATAAATTACTTTGTCCCATACTATTCAATAATGCTGTCATTGTTTCACTTTTCCTTTGCCACCTCTCTATGTAGCTTTTCTCAGCTATTATTCCCAATATTCTAACTTATTTTCCTGACTTCCACTTACTCCTTCACATGACCTTGCTTTCCAGTCCAGATTAAACTGAGGACATGTCCTCAGTTCACTTCATGGTTATCCTCACCCACATTTTTCACCAGTCTGCATATTAACTTTTTGTCATCCAAAGTCACAATGAACGCTTTTTCTTCCCATTCAAAGACAATCATTCTACCTATCTGCTCTCTTGATTCTATTTGTTCTCATTTTTTCTAGGAATTCCCTCTTGTATCTGTTGTATCTCTTGCTTCTCTTATAGCATCTTTCTGATATCTATCTACTTCCTTCTCTTCTCTTTCAAATTTTTCAAAGTAATAACCTGTCACAGTTCCCTTTACCATTCATTGACTCACTAACCAGTTTTTCTCCTATGTTTCTTCACTCATCTGAAACTTATTTTTGTGTAATATCATTGGTAAATCCTTACTGATTTGTTGTTGCTTACTATCAGGCAAATCTTATGAAAAGTTTGGATGTATTTGCTCATGATTGTAGCCTGGAGAGTACCTGGAACACAGTGACTCCAAGATTCCGTTGAATGGAGAACATATACCTCAGCCACATTACTGGAGATGTGCTGACCATTGATTTCTTAATGGTCCCTTTTTTTTTCTCAAAGATTTATGTATTTTTATGCACAGAAGAGCTGGGGTGTAGGCCAGAGTTGTGGGGTGGGTGTAGTAAGAGGATTCACCAGAGACAGAGTGGGGAGCAGAATAGGTGGATCTACTGAAATACACTCTGAGGGGAGCGGCAGGTAAGACAGAGAGGTCTGCTGTGCCATGTGGGTTAACTCCTTGGCTAGAAATGGAACTCAGGCTGATGGTCTTGAGACTTAACCCTTACACCACCAGGGAGGCCCCGAATGGTCCTATTTTTAACAGAGGTGGGCATGTGTCCAAATTGCCCATGAGTTTCATTGTTTACTACTTACTGCCTGTTGTACATCTCTGTCATGGATAAATATTTGGATAGTCAAAGTCAGTCAAAGTTTAGGGCCTCCCCTGGTGGCGCAGGCGGTTGTGCACTGCACTGTGAAGCTGTCCGCAGCTTCTGCAGCACTGGTTTGATCCTGGTTGGCCAGTGAGGGTCTCACATGGTGCGGCAGACCTCTGCTATCACATCCGCTGCTCCCCTCAGAAGTGTATTTCATCAGTCTGCCTATGCTGCTCCCCGCTCTGTCTCTGGTAAATCCTCTCACCCTCCCACGCATAGCCTGTACCCTGGTTCTTGCATAAAATAAATAAAAATCTTTAAAAAGTCAGTCAAAATTTATTGCTTAAATTTGTCATTTTTAAGTCAATCAAAATTTATTGCTTAAATTTGTCATTTGTCAATTTTTTAAATTGCATTTTTTAAATAGATAACATTGATTTACAGCAATATATATGATTTAAAGGATTAGGCTCACACCCTTCCAATGAAATATTGTATAATTTTAATTGAGATAATATTGGTTTGCAATACTGTGCATGATGGTTTAGGGGTAAAGGTTCTAAACTCTTCAGGTTTAGGCTAATAAACCACACCAACCACCACAGAACCATCTATTGACTCCTCTCCCCCGATTTGCACCCCTCCCCACCTTCCCTTATAGTAGCCTTAGTTCTACAGTCATGTTTCTGGGGTGTGTTTTGGTTTAGTTGTCTTTTTCTTTTTTTGTTCCTTTACATACTAAATATGAGTAAAAATCATCTGATATTTGTCTTTCTCCTTCTGACTTATTTCACGTAGCATAATTCCCTCTAGTTTCATCCATGTATTGTGGCAAATGGCAAGATTTCATTTTTTTTTAATAGCTGAGTATCATTCTACTGTATATATATATATATATATATATATATATCATGTCTTCTCTATCTACTCATTTATCATTGGACACTTAGGTTGTTTCCAAAATTTGCAATGAGCATAGGAGTTCTTATGCAGTGAGCATAGGAGTTCCTATGTCCCTTCAAATTAATCTTGTATTCTTCTGCTCAATACCTAGAAAAAGAATTGCTGGATTTTGATAGATCTATCTTTAATATTTTGAGAAATCTCCCCACTATTTTACATAAAGACTATGTACTATAACCCCAACTGAGAGTGTAGGAATATTCCTTTTTCTCCACACCCTTATGAGCACATTTTGTTTCTGGTCTTTATGATTTGGGCCATTCTCACAAGTATGAGGTGGTATCTCCTTGTGGTTTTGATTTGAATTCTCCTGATGATAGGTGATGAACATTTTTCATGGACTTGTTGGACATCCACATGTCTTCTTTGGAGCAATGTATATTAAGCTTTTTTGCCCATTTGTCAATTGGGTTATTTGTTTTCATGCTGAGTTTTGTGGGTTCTTTGTGGATATTGAATATTAGCCCCTTCTCAGATGTATGATGTATAAATATTTTCTCCCACTCAAGTAGGGTGTCTTTTTGTTTTAATGATAATTCATTTTGCTGTGCAGAAGTTTTTATTTGGATAAAAGTAAAATGGGTATTCACTAATTATATTTGCAATAGAAATATATAAACTATCAAGTCTTACACTTGCATTCCTTCAGTTTTTTCTTACTAACAACCACTAAATGTTACTGAATACAAAAAGTTAATGTGTATGCTGACATTGAAGAAAGAACTTAAAATATAACTCCATGTTGATAAATTTAGGAAAATTTAAAACCAACTTGAATACTAAAAATTCCATAACGAATATTTAAAAATGCAAAGGAATTTAATGGAGAGGAACTTGCTTACTTATTACTGAGAAGATTTAGGAATACTTATCAGAGAAGTAGAATCTGATATGGAACTTGTAGGGCAAAGAGAATTTAGAGAGGAAGAAATAGGTGAGGGGGTTGTGTAGGTTATTCTTGCCGGAGAAGAGAATAAGGAAGAAGAAGGGATTTGAAAACTAATAAAAAAGCAAAGATAGCAAATAAGCAAAGTCTCAAAAGAATAAAAACAAATGGCAAAAATAAGAAAAAATGATTAATTTTACTGCAATTAGGAAAACAAAAGCAACAATGAAAAATAACATTTCAAATGTTATATTGATTATAAAGAAAGCTATAGAGAAAATCATTATCTATGATTGTATATAAAATCATTCAAAATTTAGTGGCTTTAAACAATTTAGTACTCCCGCCTCTAGCACTAGGACCTTACTATTAGTGCTAATCTGAGTGGCTTTAAGTTAATGGGTAAATTTATAATTTCTTTACATTTTTCTTTTTTTTATAAGATTTATTTATTTATGCATTCAAGAACTAGGGTACAGGCTAGAGGTGTGGGGGGTGAGAGGATTCACCAGAGACAGAGTGGGGAACAGAACAGGCAGATCAACTGACATACACTGCTGAGGGGAGCAGAGGGCAAGTCAGGAGAGGTCTATTGCGCCATGTGGGCAGCTCCCTGACCGGGGATCGAACTTGTGCTGCAGTGGCTCCAGGTTGTGCCACCAAGGAGTCCCAATTTCTTTACATTTTTCAATCTGAGCAGACACTCAATTTTCACTTGGTTGTTTGCTGCATTTGTATGATCTCCATAGTCACTTTTGCCCGGTGTGAACTTACCGTATTCTGATTCTTCTCAAGTCATGTTGTCTCCATATGTTCCTGCTCTTTTCTCTAGAAATGCTTGTCTCACTCCTATGAAATCTTCTTTTCTTCAGGAATATTAGCTTTTCTTTCTCCTTCTGAATGCATCCCATTGCCTCCTGCTTCTTCTTTCCCTCACTTCTGCTTATCTTCACAGCTGTGCTTTGCTCTTTGCTTTCTCAGCTTTCAGTCTTCAGGATTCTTCCTCCCTGTGAGTCTTCAATTTTGAGTCACTTGCTGTGTCTATTGTCTTTTGGATTCTTTCCTCTTCCTCCTCTCCCTTTCCTCCTTATTGGCTGCTCCACTCTCATCCAGCAGCCTTGTGTCCTGTCTGCAGTCAGTAGTCTTTGCAGAGGACTTAGTGGAAGCAGGGGCAGCCACACTGGAAGACGTGGCTAAAGCCCAGGTTGGAGCTAGGGCTCGAGTTAGAGTGGCAGGTGTGGCTTTGGTTCCACAGGTGACCACTTCAATTCTGGCTTCTTCTGCCTTCTACGGCTGGTCTGCAATTTAGAGAGGTCTCCCTGGCAACTCTTCATTTCTTTTTTTCTCAGTTTTCTTTCTCAGGCATTGCTCTGACTTCTCTCTTGGTAAGCAGATGCCTGGGATGGGGCCAGACTAGAGTGAGGGAATCTTTGACTGAGCCCAGAGCCAGGAGAAACCAGGTGAAAGTGCCAGGCAGGTGAGGAAAGGATGAGGCTGGGAACTGAAGTCTGGAGCGAGCTGGTGATCTGGCTTTGGGGGTTAAGTGTGATTAGAGTGAGCCAGTTCGATGCTAAATGTTCTGTAAAGTGAAAGGGTACACCCTTTCCTTCCCAACCTTCTCTCTCTCTCTCTCTCTCTCTCTCTCTCTCTCTCTCTCTCACACCCTCCC